TTGCCCACCATCTTGGTACCTGCATTTGACCCCCAACCAACTTCATCTCTTCCCTGTGGCTTGCGGGCAATGGTAGAGAGAAAGGAAGATGTCAGCCGGCCACTTGGGTCAACTTTGTATGTGTCTGTGCTGTTCATCTGCCCTTTCGCTCCTCTACCAGCCCCTGAAGGAGGCTGCACGCCTCTGAATGCCCACATCTTCCTGGCAGTGAAGGTTGGAAAATTCCCTATCAAGGAACCCAATACGAAGGTCCCGAGAAGAAAGGAAGTCTTCTTACAAAGGGCAAAGAACTTTGATGGGAGGCAGATTCTTTAGGAACCAAGAGAAAACTTGTGTTGATGGGAACCCAAATGAGATGGAGTCCCTTAAAACTTCTGACATACGGCAGGATGAAAAGAGGGGCTGGCATCCTCCACATCTGTGGCCTTCTCCTTTCCAAGTAGAGCTTTCACTCACTTCTGCTCACCTTGGGGGAAACCACTTTTCACAGAGATGACAATAATGGTATCATGCAACAGTCACTGACTGAGGAACCTCTATGGGCCAGACACTAAATGAGTGACACGGACTATTTCCAAGCCCTCAGAGGAAACTTTGAAGGTTATCATACTAACCCCATTTGATATTTGGGGCGGCCGGGGATTCACTGGCGCAGAGCCACTGCGCAGCATAATGAGACAGCCGGCGCTGCTGCTGATCACAACAGGCAGCTTCCTTTTCCCAAATATAAAAATTGAATTATCTGAATGGAAGCAGAGAGAAAGAAGATGACCGTCTAAACATTTGTCTTTTATTGGATTTGGCTGTGGTTTCTTTCAGGACTTGCAGATTATAGTGTCACTCCATCTACAAATCAATGACTCATAATTTCCTGGGCATGCATTAGACAGCCAGTCCTGTGCTGGGTGCCACGAGGCACAAAAGAAACAGCTATTTGTCTGGCCTGAGGGGCATCGAGAATGTAATTAGCTGCTAATAGGGATGCAGTCAAACGCAGAGAAAATAACCATTCCAGTGATCTTTTTTTTTTCTTCTGAGAAAGGCAAAAATGTACATCCATCTCCAAGGTGCGCACACACACACACACACACACATACACACCCATACATATATATATATGATTTAAGGCATGCTTCAGAGTGAGCACTTTGCGTTTGGACCTCCTTCTATGATAATGAAGGGCAGACAAGAAATCAGCCACCCCCAGCCTCCTCTGGTCTTCAGCATCTTCCTCTGAATTCATGGAGCTCAGTAAAGCCTGAGCTCTCCTGTTCACGCTGCACGTGACCTCAGTGCTGTTTCCCACGCACATGCCCATCCCAGAAGGATGCCCGACCGCTGTGTCCTGTCTGCCTCCTCCGGCTCCAGCCTGTGCGAACCAAGATGGCGGGAGCCAGGCCCCCTCCCTGCACCACCGCATCCCCCACATCCAGACCAGAGCCTGACGCCTGCAGAGGACGCACACGTACCATCAGCTGAACGCAGGTGGGAGACTAGCACGCGCATTCTACTCACACAGAGACAAATAGCCCTTCCAGTCAAGATAAGGTCCACAGACTGCAGCTTGTATGTTTATTTGTATATATTTGTTGGTTTAAATTGGTCTTGATGAGTCAACTTAAGTTTGGTGAAATGTTTGAAAAACGAAACACAGCAAAACCAAAAGTCATCCCCAAGACAATGGGTCAGCATTTCACCCTTTCTGGATTCTAAAATTATTCTTAAAATTCTAAGAATATCCACCTTGATCTTTTCCCCATTTATATCTTTGGGAAACAGTGCTAACCCTAAATTTAATTACACTGCATTGCTTCTTTAAAACTTATAGCAGGAAAAAGGCACTGGTCCACTGCACATCATTTGAGTAAAATACGGAAGCTGACAGAAATCTAGAGAAAAGGTCAAAGGGGCTCTCTGCAAGAAAATGAAGTAAATGGAGGTAAAAATCATCTTTATCTGTGTTTTTAACCTAATTCTCTGATACGTATCTAAGCAAATATTGATTTGTTTTTCCTAAAGAAAATTTGCAGTATTTATATAACATGGAAACATCTGGAGAAGTAGCGAGTGTTTGCTTTTACAATGCTTCCTGCAGATAGACTAGTACAAATGTGGTGCTGCAGGGCAAAGCTAAAGACAGTATTAGCTATATAAGGAATAAAACAACGAACAAAAATGTAATAATTAAACTTTTCTTGAAAGCCCCAGGTTTTTGAAATTACATTTGACTCTTTTTTTCTTTTTCTTTTTTCTTTTTTTTTTTTTTTAGCAAAACAACCATCAATTTCACCTCATATGAAATGCACTCTGTCAAGACGGGAAATAATAACCATGTGGTGACATTTCAATAGCGAAGACGATGACCTCAAAAGGTCGCGTCAGCCCCATCCTGACTGATGGCAACCAAGCCAGCCTGTTAATTAATGCCCGGGACACAGTGTGGGTTTTTCTATCTTTACAACTAAATATCACCCATCTTGCAAGAGAAAAGACCTTTCTATAGAAAAAACTAACCCTAATATTTTATCTTAACCATGACCAGACGAAAGAGGCTAGAAACCTAGGTTAGAGAACAAAAATACATTTTATATGATGTTATTTTCTTCAGTGGAAGGGAGACCAGGGGGAAGATCTGACTTCATCCAAGTGTGTCGATTCTAAAACACATGAAAGTAGCCACTTTTGATGAGCATCAGGCAAACTGAACTGCTGCAAGCTGCCCTCCCTCACTGTTATTTTCAGGCCATAGGAGGATGGAGTAATGAGCTGCTCAAACTTTTTCTTTTCAGAGAGGATGACACACACGGCGAGCTCCGCACCTGCTGTTCATACATCACCTCTGCAGCTCCGCAGATGCCTGCATCCTTCGTAAGACTCTCCAAATCGCCTCACATTCACTAGGAATCTAAATTTTCTGCTCTCTAAACTTCACTAATAAGCTTTAGGAGGCAAGTATTTTCAGAATGAAGAATTCTTCCAAATATCTCCTTCCTCAACATTAGGGAAGCTGGCTTTAGTGGTGGTCGATGCTTGTACCATGTGGTTTGTTAACTATTCCTAACATCACCTTTGGTTAAAAAGAGTATAAATCTTTACGGATGTAGTAGGTACGACATAGTAGGGACTTGATAACTCGTAGCTACTAAGATTGTTCACTGGAAGACCAATGGACTTAGATTTTGAAAAAACAAAAGCCTACTTATCTAAGTGTGTTAAAGTGGGGATGGGTGTGAGAGGAATATGGGTATGGCCCTAAGAGGGGAGATGGAGGGTTAACGTCGGAGCCCTTAACACGTTAGCTTGTCTATTTCACATCTGTAACCTACGGCACAACCTCCAAACGTCCTTGCTCAAACCCATGGGCATTCCGACAGTAAGCTTTCCACTGAATAGTCTGGGGCAATGAATCAGTGCAGTTTAAAAGCACTGGTAAAGACGGAATTTGTGCTGCTTTTAAAAATAGGAATTCAATGAGAACTTTGCAGAATTGAAGCAATTTCTAAATCAATATCTGAACCTAATCAATACCTTTCTAACCCTCTGGCATCGTCCATATTCTTTTAAAAATCAGTTCTCTGCTTAATTATAACAGTAGTCAAAAGTTCAATTGGATCTTTCCCTTCCTTTGTTTTTTAAGCCATCTTAAAGCTAAGTTTGGTGGACAGATCACAATCTGATGCCAAAAGAAAATGGTCCATCTGCATGGCATTACTGAGATCCCTGGGAATCTAGGAATGAAGGTTAGGAAGAAAAATTCTGGACACTGCAGCACAGAGCCTCAGCGCTCCCCAGCCTAAATTCTGTGCAGGCAATGCTCCTAGGAGGAACACATTTCTTGTTTTCCTTACAGGACTTGGTCCCAATCTGCATCTTTACATGGAAAATATGACCGTTTTCTTGAGTTACTCTTAATCTGTATTTTGCATCACTGTCTTGCCCTATCATTTATTTTCTCTACTCTATTAATAAATGATAGATTTGACAGATGACCTTCCCTTTTCCCAGCAAAATAACCTAGGGCATCAACAGCAAGAAATAAAACTTTCATTTTTCTAGTTATCTAATCTAGGCGATGTTATTTTGGGGAATAGAGAGATTGATTTTCCTCTTGGTACAGATTCTACGAAGGCTGTAGGAAGCGGTACCCTGACTGAAATTCTTGGGAGACATTTTAACCTCATTTCATAAGTAAACTAGTTTTCACTCTCCATGGGTATTTCAGATTAAATTTTCCTGGTATCATTCCACACTTTCATGAGTGTTACGCTAGCCAGTTCAACGTGGTGCGTATAGAGCCCAACCCAGTTTGCATGTGGTGTGAGACATGGCTACGTGGGGCAAGGTAAGGGCAGGTTTCCAGGTAGACAAATGGGTGCCCACCCTTGTATAAAATACATCCTCGGAGTCCCTCTCATTATAAGAGCCAGCACCAGACTTGATTTTGAGCAAATGGTTGTACGCATAGGAATCTTATAGATTCATAGATTTTTCATGTGGGATTTCAATCCCTCATTGGGCCTTAACCAACCTACAAAACTCCTATGGTAAGAAATCAGCATTTAGACTCAACCAACAAAGTTGTTATCCTTCTGTTTATCACCCACAGGTTGGCCCCTCATTGAAGGCCCACCTCCAGCCATCAAAGGTGGACCACAGCATTAACAAGTCCGGTCATTTGCGAGTTCTTACAACCTGTCTACCATGCACGGGAGAGTACCAGGAAAAATCAAGGCACCCTTTTTTCCTTTTTGAGAACCAAGCCTGTGGCTACATGACAGCATCAGATCAGGTCTCTGAATAGCTTCCTTTTTTAAAAAAAGAAGAGAATGAACTGTCACTGTCAAAGGAGTAATGGTCATTTGAACCTGGGGGAGCCATGACAGACATGGAGGTGATCTGGCCCAAGTGAAGCACGAATGAGGAGGGAGACATGGGATCAGGAGGTGAGCAGGGCTGTGGCAGGGGAGGCAGGTGGAGGGTGGGAGGGAGGTGGCACTCACCACTGCCGCCTCCACTGGCTCCTCAGCCCGCGTGTCCAGTCCGAGGTCCGGCCCGGCAGCAGGGGGTGCAGGCGGCTCCTCGACTCTCGGCTCGGTGGGCGGAGCCTGGTCAGATTCAGCCTTCGATGGTTTGATTTGAGGGTTAGAGGAAAAAGATTCGGCATGTGAATAGATTACAGAACGCTGGACAATTAAGATTTTCTTCGTCAACATACAAGCAATTCGCTTCATTAAATCTGTGCTGGAAAAAAACCCCACTTGACATCACGGCCTTTATTAGAACTGAAAAGTCTAGGAATAAACTCTGATTAAGCTTCTTGTTACCACCATCAAGCTACTGTTATTTCCCTTGAAGTTGGGCAAAGATGTACCATTTTGGCTATTTATTTTAATTACTTTCAACATTTCAGGACCTCCTTATGACGTCTATAAGAGATCTTAAAACAGTATTTTCTGCTCCTGAGCAGAGAAAGGAGAGCTTAGAAGATCCCACCTTTGGAAGTTGCAGGGAGTAAGGAAGAGTCCCCAGGGAACACAGTTCTGGGACCCGCCCCTCCACCAACCTCCGTTGATATGCATCACAACCAAAAACTTGAAGGGTCCTCCCAATATTCAGATCAAAATGCATTGTCCTGCATGGTCACTATGAAGCCACTGTGCCCCGGCCCCAGCCGGGAGGAGCAGACCCAGCTACGTGGCAAGGAGCCACCACAACCTCAGACGCTTGGCTGCCTGGTGCCTTCCTGTTCAGTCCTTTATTCCACTTCTCCCTCCGATAAAATCCTTGGCCAGCAGTTTTTTTCCCATAATAAACTAATTAAGGAAACACATGGCAGGATTCTCTGTGGTACCAATCAGACTCTTCGACGTGCGTGGACAAGACAGAGATCTTTTCCTCCCACTGCGACCTCTGCGCACAGACACCCTCCTGATTCCAATGATATGCTGAACCAAGCCTCTGGAATCTCTTAGCTCCAGACTTTTTCCAGTTTTAAAGTGAGCAGTAATAAATAACAACAGGCTATTAAAATTACCATAGCCGATGCCTGTTACCATGGCTACTACCAAAACTGTTACCTCTCTTTTGATTTAGGTTAATGTTACATATTTATTTAGCATGACTATTTCAAAAAATGAATGGCCATTGGAGGGCACGTTAAGATCCCTTTCCATCAAAGTATTTAAATACTTTGGAGAAATTAGGAACTTTCACCATAAGCAATCAAAAGCCACCTTGAGTTCCACTGAACTTGATGCATGTGTTAAGTCCCACAGGGAAGTGATGGAGAAGTTATGCTGTGATTATAAAAAATAGATAATGAATAGCCTTTTGATGGAAAAATACACAAAATATTTGCCTTGGGCCCTCCCACCAAATCCTCCATTGTGACACATGCCAGGAGCACGCCACTCTTTTCTTCAAAAGGCATAATAAAATGAAAGAACACTTGGGTAGATAAGTGTACAGAGATTTGATATTTTTACGGGCTTTTGTAACCTTTAAAGGGTGATCTGACGTGATTTTTAAGAAAGAACGAGATAAAATTCACTCTAATAGACTCTCAGGAGTTCTTTATGGGAAATGGTTTCACTTGTATTGTTCAAAAGGAATTATCTTCATAATGGAACGAGTTTTCATAGCAGCGAAGAGATACTGTCAGCTCTCAGGGTGTGATCTTACCATTTCGGAAGTCAAGGTGATTTGCTATGAGAGGATGGTGTCAAATGACCTACACAGCAAGGACAGGAAGGGTAATTTGAGAAGACCAAGACACCCACGAGCAGATGGCTGGGCCCCCCGTGAGCTGAGTCTGCAGTGCAGAATGAGGAGCCCAGGGAAGTTTCATGACAGGAATCCAATAAATCTAACTTTGTACATTAAGAAAAAAACAAACACAAAGGTAACTTAAAATGAAAAGGATATTTGCGCCAGAGTCTGGGTTTCTTGGAAGTCTGAAGAAATTTTGAAGTTTTATATATATGCCAAGAATAAGTAGGGTGATTTCATAAATGAGTCCAACTGCCTTGGTTGCTGAAGCCAGACAATAACTCAATGAAAACAAAGTACGAAGAGGAGGAGAGATTGATTATGTCCCATAAGGCACAACACTTTCCTCTCTGCTATAACATCACACCGAATATTACAATATAGCATTGCAGTTTAATGACTGAAATTCCAGGGGGTCAAACAGGACCCACTGAATGCGTGACTGTACATAAAATCAGCCTCTCAAATTTGGAAATAGAAGTCACCTTTCTAGTCCTTCTAAGATGATGTAAAATTGTAAATACTTTGTCAAG